CATATGCATTCAAGTGTTAAGACAATGTTTTTCTATATTTTAAAATATGTCATGATCATTTTCAACAGAGAATTTTTAGGAGTGGGAGTATCCCCCCCGCAGAGGGACAAAAGGACCCCCTGATGATCCTCTAATCGCCTGAGCCAAGGTGTGAAACTGGGTGTGGGTCCCAATCAGCTAGGGTTTTGGGTGAGCTCATTGTGAAACCTGGCCCCACCTTATCATGCGAATTCCTGAGGTCAGATGGCCCAGGATGTGAGTGGGCGTTAAGGCGTCTGGGGAGGGAACTCAAAACTGGATTATAGATGGCAGACAGTTGCTGTCGTAAACCACCGCCTCTGTTCAAAGATGGTCGCTCATAGTGGACATAGATGGCTTCTTAAGTAAGTGTTAATATTGATGTTGATACTGGATGCCCAAAAGTGTCAGAATAATCTGACTGGATCTTTCCAGAAAGCTTTCCACCACACTTACAACCATGATAGCATCAGTGGGGTTCAAAACATTATTGTCCAAAGCATCATTGTACAGTATGCCATTTCTGTTAATTGGTGTTAAGGGCTCTAACGCAGTTAGAAACAACCATACACCAATATGGTGTACAATTTATATGCTTTATATTTGTTATATTTGTTATACATGCATGCATAAACTGATAAATAAAATGTAAACACTCAAAGATAAAAATAATGAGCATAAATGTAGAATAATGCAAATAATGTTCTGCTCTGTTGTGACCTGTGTTCTTGTACGTGTAATTTAAATAACTAATATTTCCTGTTTCCTGGTCTCTGAGGTCATCAGGTGGAGATCTTTTAAATGTTTCTAGAATCAGATCTGAGTATTGCTCAGGATTTTTTCACTTACTCTGGTCCTGTTCTTATGAACAAGCTGCCTGCTGACCTGAGATCAGTTACATCTGTGCATATATTCCACATATACTGTAAATTTACATAGGTTTTTATGTTTTTAATTTCTGTGTTGAGCACATTGAGTTTACATATAATGAATTCTGCTATATGATTAAAATTGTCATTGTCATTATGAGCAGTGTATGCAGTGTTTTCCCCCCCACACACCTGGGTATATTGCCAGCAGCCCTAAGACAAGGACCTGATTGATTTACTAGCAGACAGTCCTCACACCCTTATTTTAACAAGCTTGCAGCCGCCAAAGCCGAGGTTCAACCGCCAACCTGTTTTCTCTGATCCTGTCAGTGTTGTCATGCTGTGGTGGGACAAAGCCATAACTTCACTGTCTTGGTTTGCAGCTTTTCCCCTGTGAGCTGATTTCTGTGTCACTACAGTGAATTCACTCAGGCTTCAGGACAGAACAAGGACTGCCACTGTAAACTACAGTAAAAGACAATGGAACTGAGTATCAGTGAGTGAGCCCATCCAAGGAACTGAGTGAAGAGACAGTTCATTCTCTCTGTTGTTTATATAGCCTATATAGTATGATTTACTTCTGTAGTCACAAAATCTCCTTTTGTGCACACATGCACATGTCCCCAGCAAGAACTTCAGCCTTTAATAATCGTTGGAGAATGATTTAGTTTTTAGTAGTCAGAAGCTGGACCATTTGTCCTGTAGGACATACTTTTCATGAACTCTTTAAGTTGTAACCTGTCAGCCAAATTCTGCACAGCTCTATTAGCCCACAAATGGGATATTTGTCTGGAAACAATTAATGCAGTGAAACAATAAAATATTCAGTCTTGTTCATTTAATTAATCATTTCTGCATTCTCTATATTAGTGCCTGTGTTTTCAGCTGAAATCTGCCCGCCTGTCACTCCTCTTATCGACCCACCGCCGCCTCCATCATTTCATTATTCCCATGAATCCTGTCTGCCTCGGTGTCTTTTACAAGGCCCCTCTGTTTTAATGTGATGGACAGAGTGGATGAAACACAGTGTTCTTGTGACAGCTCCAACACTCTGCCTCCAATTGACCTGGTCCCCATACTACCACAGTTAGTCCCGTTTATGGACAGTGGAAGCCATAAATCTATGGTACAAGTGGACAGAGTCAGAGCACAGTCAAAGAGAAGGAGCATGAAGGCTACACTCAGGTTTCCAAATCCCACTTCCTGACTTTGTCACCTCTGATAGTCCCAACCTATGCATTAAAATAAGGAAGATAATAATCTTGGCCTGATCTAAGACTGCTACAAATACTACGGTAAATTGCTCGATTGTTAACTATTTTATTCTTTTAGTCCTTTGTGCATCAGCTGGTGTATTTGACTCTATAGTCTCTGTATTGAATAGAGAATCAGGCTGTTTAGTTAGTGTATTAAAAGTGGAGCCTTAAAACATATTGGTGCACATATGGCTGTACCACTCATTACTGGGTTGTAACTGTGTTAAGTCTAAGCTAATCGTATTGTGAAGCATAAACAAATGTAATTACCTTTCAAGTGTATCAATTGATGTAATTATAACCACATCAATTAAAAGTGGGAGCTCATCTAAAGAGGGTTTATGCAAAGAAAGGTGACATCCTTTCACAAAGTTATTTTTGAAGGGCTCATTTCATAATGACGTAACACTCAGATTTGTACTTTGTGGAGTCTTCTGGCCTCAGATGACATTTAATGTAAATACATGCTTCAAATCCTAAGAAATAAACAGGCTGATGAAGAGATCGTGTTCTTATTGTTAGGAAAGACATGAATTATTGGCAGTAATGTCCATATACTATGCTGCAGTAGCCCATGTTTACACTTCATGAAAACCAGAGTTTATTTACTGATTTACTGTTAATAAAAAAATGTTTTAAAAAATGTAAAGTTTCCCTGATGTTGCTATTATACTGAATGAATTCAGACTGTGATTCATGCTTTTATTTTTGCTGAGTTACTGTACTGATCTTATAAGAGATATCTATCAGAAGTCAGTGAATAGTGTTCAAATTGTTCAAAATGCAGCAGCAAGACTTTTCAGAAGAACCTAGAAAAGTGAACATATTAAGTCACTTGTAATGACTCTGCCCATGCTCTCGATTTGTTTAAGAAATCATCTTTGATAATTACTTTTAAAGTCCCTAATGGCCTGGTTTCAGAAGACATACTGGAACTGTTATCCATGTACCAACTGGGGCTCAGTGTGAGATCCTCTAACAGGAACTTGCTAACAGATCACACCTCATAGTTAAAGACAAAAAATGGCGGAGCATGTGCTATTAGGGGCTACTCTGTAGTGGAATGATCCAAGTAGTGGAGAATTCTGACTCGCAGTATCTTCTTCTTATTGATCATTGTATTGATCACTAAAGACTTACTTATATACTGCTATAAATGTTATTATAGGCTGCATATCTGTGACATGCTGATCTTGCCTCCATTTTATTCCTTATAAATTGTTTTTGTTTTGATTTATTCTTTACTGTGGATTCACCATATAAGCATATTTTAACTGATATGCTGTGCTATGCTATAGTATACTATTCTATGCTATGATATGCATGCTGTGCGATGCGATGCGATGCTATGTTATGCTATGCTATTCTATGATATGCTATGCTATGGTATGCATGCTATCCTCTAATATGAAATGACCGATTCTAAACTTCATTATTTTAAAATAAACTTTCTTATTCATTTTTTATTACAATAAAAATACTTTGTGAATCAAATATGATTATATATGATTTTATGTATTATACCATAGTGATAACAATGCTGTGTAATTAAAGGCACAGACATGCAGATGTACTCCTGTAGCATTGGTCCTCTCACCATCAATCACTGACTAAATTCAGTCATTCTGGTCAGTGAGCTATAGAATGGAACAGCTGCAACCTTTGCTAACAATCAAACAGTATATGTAATGAGCGTGTATTTGTATTGTGTCATAACTAATTCATACCAGCATTTTAAGTTAAATGTAGCTTTCACACCTAATAGCAAAGCCACAGTAGTTTGGCCACAAATGCACTGCTTTAATCTTCGCAGGATGGACTCTCTCGTGATGCTGTAGGTTTTTCAAATACAGAGAGAACCAGCTGTCTCATTGGGTTGTGACCTATGTCTCCCCAACCAACCATTCAGATCACCTTCACTGCATGACTATACCACTAACTCAGTCAAGGGTTACTGGTCACACATATTCTAAAAACTATTCATCATCTTTGTTCTCATTTAATAAACCACAACCGCTCTGAAGAGCATAAAAAGAAAAATCCCTCATTCTGTAGCCACTGTGGGAAATTGATTTTACATTCGGAGAGAACTTTCAGTCTGCATTGAAATGCTCAGGTTGTTTACTTGAAACAGATTGGTCTCAGCGTTCTCCTGGAGATGTGTTAAAGTCACACAGTCACACTTTTCCATCCACTTCACAGAAGGTCAGTCCCAGACACTTTCAACGGCATATCTGTATTCATCACATCTCCATTCACAGCAAACAAGCAACCCGCGGGCAGCCAGCGGCGCAGTGTCATCTCTCTGCAGGTACTGCATGTATGGCCTCTGGCTTTTATTCCAACAACATTTGGTTGTGTGTATATCATAGCGACATTTGCATTCAACCCCTGATCTGTCCAGCTTGAAGAGATTTGCTTGCAAATGTGAGCTTCTCTTTCTTGGCAGCCGTGTCAGTTGTGATCTTTTTCATACTTCAAGCAGTTTCTTGTTGTTTTGTAAATCTGAAGCAGAGAAAAGTGACCCAGACCGATTGGGTAGGAAGTTATTTTACTCATTTTTCTTACAGTTTTCAAGGAGAAAAACAACTGTGGAGAAGACTGAGCAAACACATAGAGGGAAGGGACAGATGGAGGGGTGGGGGGGTGGGATGGGAGAAGTAAGAGTAGGAAGATGTGGGTCAAGATGGTTCATTCTGTGCAGACTTCACAGGAACAAGGACAGAGTCTCCTTCATGAAGTCACAGAGCATCAGCAGCACCTGAGGTTAGTTTAGGTCTTCCAGGTAAAGTTTGTCATTTTAATCATCGTTAACCTCCAGTGATAACAAAGAAATTAGAAAAACAGGTAAACACAATTTCAACTTTGCACAGTGAGTCTTTAACATTTTAATTTTTCCCACTTGCCAGCAAAATGACAAAAGATCTCAGCACACACAACAACCAAAATCCACAATAATCTTAAGTGCTCATTTGTCACATAAAATTCCTTTCATTTCATGTAACAATTTCATTTGAACATAACACAGATTTAAAGTAGAAAAATAAATTTCGTATTTCATACATTCTTCTAAAGCCAATGTTTTGAGTGCATAACAGCTGGTGCTGTCAGCAGATGACATCTGAAAATGAAACCACTGCGCTGTGCAAAAAGAAGCTGAAAAACTGGCTCGAAAATCGTGCCGACTCCCGTGTTAAAATACCACATAAACAGGTTTACAGCCTTGAACAAGGGAAGTTTTTGTGCCTAGAGTTTCTTTTCCCATTTATAAAAACTGCTTTGCAGTGGAATTTTTATCTAGCTCATCATTTAAATTTTTTTAAGGCTTAACATTTGTCCTATCAGGAGCATCCACTCATTAATAACTGACAGCTATGCAACTAGCTGTCTCCAAGACTTCACATCAGCTAATTTGATTCGATGACCTAGACCCTTCACCTGTATTTGTGGCAATAGTGCCTCTTGTAGCATTTTAATTGCAGTTATCTTACATGTAAGATGCTTTGTGGTTCAATAAATCCAAGACATTTTTGCTGAGGGAAAATTTAGTATTTCATCTGTATGTTACTTAACACTAGATAACCAGTATCTGCGTCTATGCAGCTCAGCTATAGACTCTGTTGTGAAAATTTTCCATTAAATAAAGCCTGCAGATGAGCGGTGAGCGGTAGCTAACATTCTTTAATCTAAAACTCAAAGAAAATAAAAAACCCAAGCTTGTGGCGAGCCTGCATGATCGCGGGGCAGACGATCAGCAGAGTCTCCTGAGCCTAACATGGCTCTTAGTTAAATACCTTCTTCAGGAACAAAAGGCAGTACACAGTTGTTTCACACTTTAAGGTTCACACTCCCTTGCTCCCTCCCAATGTTTACAAAAGATTCTTCCTGTGGAGTTGTCTGCTTCCCTCAACTTCCTTACTAGACCCCCACCATTTGTCTTATAGTATGAGTGTGAAACATGTTTAAAAATCCAGTGGCACCAAGGCATCATACAATAAAATAATGTGATTAATACATAAGTAAAAGAAATTCCTATAGACTCAGTGGACCAGCCTTGCTAACTAAGCTTGCTACATTAGCGCCTAATTTCTGAATTTCACCCTCTTCTCTTGTGGCTCTAAAAGATGAACACAACAATGGACAAACATTAAATCATGTCTTCGGAATGGAAGTCCAAAAACAGACGATGTCTAGATCCCTCTTTTACAGTCTGTGTTGATCAGTGGTAGGTGAGGCGTTGTGGAACACAGATAAGTCTGAGTCACCGTTATTCCTTCTGCATCCTTCTGCTCCACCAAAATGAATCGGTCCATTTTTCTGCAGGTAAAGGTAAAATATTAAATCCAGCTGGATACCAGCTTTGTCTCAGGTGCTTGGATGTGGTCGTCTTTAGGGGGTACTCATGGACACCAGCTGGTGAGGGGATACAGGATGCAGTGGACAGTCTTAAACCTGCAGAACACATAAGTCATGATTAATAACTCAGAGGTGGTTAACAGCTATTGTTAATGATGGTGGGGGGGAAAAGGCTTTTTCTCTAAAGGACTGGTTGACACCATTGGACTTATTATTTTTAGTAAGGCACTTTATTGGCTCCTTCCACACATTTCCCTGCGTGTGCACAAAGCTGAATGATTTAATAGGTATCAACTCACCACTGGTGACAATAAACAAATCACCTGGAAAAGAACGTGTGTGAATTATTATCCTTACTTTTATCATTCTTTTCTGGGAATGGGAACTTCTGAAATCTATCTATTAAATACCAAAAATGGCCTGCACAAATATCTACAGCAGCAAAGATTACAGCAGAGCATCTGTGTTTCTTAAATGTTATGCTCCTCATTCACAGTGTGATAAAGCAGTGGGTCCTAAAGTGCTGAGATTAATAAATAAAATTAATAAATAAATATTACACTAACATAGTTAATTCCTTATTGAAAGTCAAAACTGTATTCTGGCTAAGATGTATATAAACATTTTTAAGAAAAAGCAGGCTCATGAAAGTCAGCCCCACTTGACAAAGTTAAATCTACAGTGCTGCTCATTAATGTTATAAAGGTGAAAACTGGGTGTTTATAGTATGCACGGTGCGCTGGGTCGTCTGTTGATTTGCATGTGTAAACACTTATCTGTGGCTCTGTACTTTCATCTAACAGCAACTGCAGAATGTCAACTAGAGGGCATCTGATGAATATCTCGTGCAATTATCCATTAATAATTTCATATTTTCCTATTATTTATTTTTACTTCCAGAAAAGAGATTATGTTCTGGCCCCAACACAGAAATTCCAACACAGAGAGAAGTGAGTTAACTACAAAATGACTTAGGAGGTCAGCAACCCTGCTTTTATATTGGAATATAAGCTAAATAAATAACCAATAACCAAAATAAAGCCACACTGAAAAAAAGGGTTTGGCCAGCTCTTGGATTTACGTAAGCATCTTGCATGTATTTAACACAATTGCCTCGTGCTTTAAAGTTAAGTGTAACTACATAGTGTAGAAACTACATGATATGCAGAGAGGCTAGATTAAATTGTTCATATCATGTTCAAGTGAAGTAAGTCAATAATATAGCAATGTTAAATCCCGCGACACTGCACGGGTTTCAGACTCGCGCTCTTTAGATCGTGGTTTCAGGAAGGCATCCATCTCAGTCAACTCGAGCAGCCACCTCTACTTTTTTTTAGTATACCAAAAAACAGTAAGTTGGGTGGTTGTTACATTAAAAAAGTCTAACTTGTAATTTGAACACAATAATTTCATGTTTCTATGAACGTAATTAAATCATGAAGAATCTGTACGAAATTCAACATATTAATTTGTTCTTGTTGACATTACATGATACAATCTAGTAAGAGTGCTTAGTTGCTGAACTCATGAAATTCACAAGATCGCACAAGATTTCAAACTGCAGGAAAATCACTGGAGTTATAAGAGGCAGACAACTACACACACACCACGTGCATGCTATTGCTATTTATTGTGGATTATTACAAAAACAAAACAATTCTGCATCAAATACAGGAAATCATAGCTTTCCTACATTTCCTAGATTGTTGGCATGGTGGTTAGTGCTGTTGCTTCACAGTAAGAAGGTCCTGTGTTCAAATCCACATTCTGGCTAGTTTGCAGGTTTCTCTCTGGGTATTCTGGTTTCCTCCCGCAGTTAAAAGTCATGCAGTTATTAGAGTTAGGGTTAACTGGTGATTCTAAATTATCTGTGAATGTAAGTGTAAATCGTTGTTTGTTTTTATGTGATAGACTGGTCAGCTGTCCAGGGTGTACCCTGCACCGTAACCTATCACTTCAGGGTTATTTCCCAGCCCTCCTGCAACCAGGATAAAGATAGAAGGATGGTAGTTGTTGAAGACCCATTCAATTTTTATGGTAACCAGACTCTAGACTTTGTTGAACATTATGTAATATGAAGACAGCATGTAGTATTTAAGTGAACAAGTAGTATTGGGGTAAAAGTTATTGAATAGTGTTAAAATAAAATGACAAAATTGTGAAGGATTAAAACATTCCAAGAGCTCAACTTACTTCATCTGAACATGTTTCAATCGCGTTTTAGGAACACAAAATGCACAGGTTTATTGAATATGAAAAAGTTGTGTTGATTTAACTCAGTTGTTTAAGTTTCTGCCAAAGCAAAACATTTGTGTGCAACAAATGACCACTATTGAATCAAGTAAATCCAACATGGCCTTTTTTTCAGTGCAGATGGTAACCAGCAGAATTGAAATGTTTCTTAGTTGCAAGGAAACATTGCCAGAATATATTGATATTATATATATAAATTACCTAACATACAAGTTCAAACTTGTGTGAATGAACCATTAGTTTGTCTGTTAACAGTTGGCAGGAAAAACACCATTTTTCCATTATATACAGTTCAAGCCTTTGTACAGACAGATGAACCTGTGACCTACTCCTCTCAGGCCGAAGGGAGGGCAAACACAACCGTGCACTAAACCAGAGGATGGGAGCAAATGGAAATGCCACTGTGAAGCATTTGTGGTGATATGTTCTTACAGCTGAGGATGAAGGAAACCGGAAAAGACAAACACATCTGTTGTTCCATTGTGTTACATCAAATTGCTTTTATCTGGGAGTGAAGATAGAACAAGATCAACTGGAGCCAGAGGGCTGTCATGCCTTAACGTAAGATCATGAGAGACAAAACTGAAAACTGGAGATTGGAGCTGGAGATTTCTACAGCAAATACCTTTAGTAAACAAGAGCTTTATCACTGAAGACGCACAATAAATGCATAAGCCTAAAATTATAATAATTATAAAACACTTACAGTATTTTTTACATATTTATCTTATTTTATTAATTGTTTAGGGGTTTTTTGCGGTGGAGAAAGTCGTTTTTCCATTCTCAGTAACTTTCTCGGTCAGAAAAGAAATAGGATATGGACCCTCACGCACAATATCGATATTTTTTGGTATATTTAATTGTGAGCATTTTGTAGACAGACATTATGTCTCCCCTTGACAACTTGGTATGATAAGGTAAATAATAAACTGAAGGCTAAACAAATGACGTGTCATTTGTTATGTGCATTTGATGTCCTAAATCCTGGAGCTTTTCATGATTCCCTCTGCTAGATATCGCCATCAGGTCAAAATGAGGCCCATTACTGCTTTGATACACTTCAGTCAGATTTTAAGGCAACTGCAGCACAGAGTCGAGTCTTCCATGATACTAGTGCTCCTGTGCTTTTAGATTAGAGGCACTTTTACTTCTAAATCTGGGCTGCTCTTTCTGTAACGAAACATTGCTGGACCACAGGGTTTGTAGTTGTCCCTGGGAACCATAATTCATAACGCATGTCCTTGACCTGTGATTCTTTTGTGACCTTCGCATCAAACCCCCATCTGCTTCCGTTTAACCTGTTCCCATGTGTCTGAATAAGTGACGCATCCAGTGGCTCAGGAAGGCCGGCAAGTTGATCCCTGGTTGCCTCCTCGGGCAAGATACTGAACCCTGCCCCCCCCCACCCCACCCCACCCCCCCATAAATCTTCAATTGGAGGTGGCAAGACATGCAAGACTACTAGAACCCTGATATCTCAGATACCTTAGATCAGGGGTGTCAAACAGAAGACCAGGGAGGACAGAATCAGCCCTGCAAAGACTCTAATCCAGCCCACTGGACAGCTTTGGAAAATGTGGAAGCGGGCATACGTTTTCTTTCACTTACTACAGCTGCATTTCTTTATCGTGTAGGAAACACTGAGACATACTGCTGAAATTGCACTTCTTCTTGTATTAAGATATCTCAGGGATTAAATGTGCAGTTAAACTTCTTTACACTGACAGAAAGATCATAGCAGGCTGTCTTTGATGTCAAATCAGTTTGACATCCCTGCCTTAGATCAACGGGGTGTGGACTTTTAGTGAGTCCAAGAGCAAAAAGAATGCACGGGGAGAAGCTGCTAGTCATTATGCAGCACTACACTGCATAATCATACAGCATTCATCTGTTAAATGGTCTTAGTAATGCTCATGTTTTATGCTGTTTTCACACATCAGTAGGGTCATATTGTGGGGTGCAGTAACTTTTGCAGACTCTGAGGGGAGCGCTGTTTGTAAAACACGTACTTGGCATTCATAGGACAGAGGTTAAAATGTAATGCTCTGCTCAAGGAGTGAGGCATTGTCCTGTAAAACAAACCTTAACATTACTGTGACACAACCCTGCTAAATTGGCCAAACACATATTCAAAATTGCTTTGTGTAGTTAAAAATTACTTCTACTAAATATGGGGGGGGGGGAATGCAACCAAAAAATGAAAGAAGAGAACTCAGGTACTTTGAAAAAGCAATAAAATGCCTAGAGACACTGTATTCACGCTGAGAAAAAAGCACAAGCACACAGAGATACAGAGCTCTTCTTACATGATCCACTCTATCTCCAGTGCCTGGACCTGGATTTTTATGCTCAGTTTTTGGTCATTATGTAGTATCGCAGTTGCACTCATGATCATTTTAGACTATGTGAGTATTATAACCTGTCGTGTAGTGGTTTTGGCATCCAATAAGCCTTTAAAACCAAGCCGCATGAAAATCCTACAATAATTAGAGTTTGATCCATTAGTCTTTAAAAGCGACATATGTTTTTTAATGTTATGTCATTTATGTGCAAAGGGAGCCAGTGGAACACTAAACACAATAATGTCAGCAAGGACACATTTCTTAGTACCCCTCATTTACGAATGAATATTGCGAGAAACAAACCTGGAGGGATCGTCCTCCTTCGAGAAGCTCCCTTTTACCTCGATGCTGTTCATCTTATTCTCGAATATCCCATAGCTCAGTGTCACCTGCAGATTAGAAAACACATGAGAGTAGGAAGAAGTGCATTTGCTTGGACACCTGTGTATAAAACCGCCTGCTACTACCTGCTGTGGTATGCTTCTCTGGCTGATGAGCAACAGGTTTTCCAGGTGCGAGTGGAATAAAGGACAGTGGACCATGGAGATTCCCAGTCGCTTTTCCACAATAAAGCCCACAGTGCAGTCATCAGGAAGACGGATCTTAGCTGAAGTTCTCATGAACTGGGAACCACTGACATACACAGGGAAAAAGAGCCTTTCTCAATATATTCTCACATAACAGAGTGTGCAATACATCCACATTTACTGTGGGAGAAATTTAGCACCATAAACTGTCCAACTTTTATCTGAAAACATGTGGTTGGGCCCATTGACTGTTTACTGTGCATATTTTACTGCTGACCTTTTCCAAAGAACTATTTTTGATTGGCTCTCTAGCTCTACCTGTAGCCCTGGGCAGCTATTAGTTCCAGCTCTTTGAGAGAAGTTTCAGAGACAGACTGAGAAACCAAAAAGTCAAAACAGATACAGCACCAATTTTGTCAATCAAAAGATTAACAAATTGCTACAAGATAATTTACAGAATGAAAATCATGTTGTAGTTGTTGTAATCAAATTAGCCACTGAGACCATAAACACAGCAATAAATAATTTTGGTGGAAAACCAGTCCTGTTGGTATTTGGAGCAGTAAAAAGTAAGAGGAGATTTATTAAGATCGCAAACTGATTTATTAACATTCGCAACGTGCAATTTACTCTAACTCTGCTGATGTAGCAATGAAAAAGTATCTCTTGTGCTTTGTGTTTGATTTGACAGCATTAAGTGAACTGATGAGGCAATGCAGAGGTTTAAGAGCGTGTGTAGGAATTTCAGTTGACCCCATGGTGTACAGAGCAAAATGACACAAGAACAGAGCAAACGGAGCGATGAAGTTGGCTTTGGAGCTAAAAAAAAAAAATCAGGTCTTAGATGGACATCAGGCAAAGGAAGTGTATTTTGATGTTTGTTTGTTTTTTGATCACGGTGCTGATTGCTTTTATTCGGATCGATGCATTTCCATTAATAAACTTCAAAAACAATGTTTTCTCCAATAAATTTTCACTATACTCCAATGAAACCGTTACAAATTCAGGACCATGGACAGCGCATCCATTTTTCATGAGCTCGTCTGAGCTGTGCTCTAAAACATAACCACAGGTGCATCACAATATGTGAGATATAGATCACAGATACACACATAAAAGATTCCCACATGAGATCTGCAAATCCTTTTCTTTTTTTTTTTAACTAAACAAATCAGAGTAAAATTGTGCTGGTACTGTTGACCTGTTGACACCACCAGTCTGAGAGTATAGAAATAAACCTTTGTTATTTCCAGTTGTTCTGTCTCTTGAAGGGATGTAGTTTATTTTAATGCAAGAATGCTACAGATCACAATGTTTACAGTCTTACATCGGAGTCTGTCAGTTACTGAACATCATCTGTTAATGTGCGACCCTGCTCTAAATAGATTGTCTCTTGGCAGGTGGGGTCATTTTTCTATATTTGTCTATAAAGGGACACGCAACCAGAGAAGTCGCCCCCTGCTGACCGTTAAAAAGAGTGCACATTTAAGGCATTTTAGAATCTGCTTTGCTTTTTCAAACCAGAGGTTTACTTGTGTTAGCATTTATGATTTAATTAGTTTAACATTTGGTGCTTTTTCCATTAAAACTGATGAGATATGTTAAAACAAGTTTATATCATTGAGCATTAATGCAAGTTCCCTACAACAATGTAAAGAACACGAGGTCGTCTAAAACTAGAAAATCTGCACACTTATTAAACAAGAAGCCATTTTTACAAATGTTTAAAACCAGTGAAAAAAAATGCTATAATGAGTAAAAGCCCCAAACATGTTTGGTTTGAATTCATATCAGCATTACATAGATGTAATTGTCTGTGTGCTTGTGTTTTTTTTCCTCACTGTCTTATCATCATTGTCCCTATAAAGCACACACACACACACACACACACAAATTGTAAATACCTGGCCCACGGAGCCATCTTCTCTGCCAGTCTTCGACTCAGGCAGAAGCCTGCTCCACCTGTTGCAAACCAGAACTGCACCTCCCTCTGATAGACAACACACAGAAATTATTAAGAGATACCGTATAAAAATAATCACAAACTAATAAAGACTGGACTGGGTGTCATATGAGAAAAAATGCGGTTCCAGTGGAGATATACCACAGTTTCAAACCATAAAGGAAACAAAAACTCCAGCTCGATTTTTGCTGCAACATGTTGTGACAGTACAGTAGACAGAACAGTCACTGAAGCGCTGCACTATTCCTGCTGTGGTAAAATGTGCTTATTAACCGTTGTAAAGTACTATGTGAAATATTAGTGCTCTGCAGAGGGTGCAACTCTGGCTGTGAAATGTCACTCAAATGTTTCCAAGGAAAAACTCCTTTTAGCCGCTTCAGACTCACAGTAGATGCTGTTTCCTCAAAAAGCTGTTTAAAACACATTTTCTGTGCTTTGAATGAACTATTTACAGATACAGATACAGATACATTTCCAATATACATCTACCAACTTAACCCTTTATATGGCAGTTGTTGTTACCGAGTGTTATTTGAGCATGTTGCAGAACTTTTCTTTTTACTTGTGTGACTTTTTTCAAACTTTTTTTAAGATCAACACTCACTGCTTGGGGTTTGCATTTTTCTAAACAGTGTGTATACATAGACTATAGGGAAAAAACACACATTGTCAGTTTTCACAAATATAACACAAAATGAAAGCGCAGCGCTGTCACAGGAACCTGCTTCACTGTACTTGGTAAAGCTGCTGTAACATAGTAATGATGTCCACTAAGATAATGCTGGTCATTGTCATTTTAGTCATTATCCAGCCAACTCTGAAGGAAAACAGTGAAGTGTAGATCTACTGAAAAAACATATATTGGCATAGAAATAAAAAAAATATATATATAAAAAATAGCATTGCACCTGGTGTGGGTGCCCCTTATAATTGCATGTAGGTAATTCAATCAAAACTAAATAAATTACAATACTGAATTACTATCTTAATTTTAGCAGTAGTAAGACTGACAATAAACCCCAATAAATGCCATTTATTTATTATAAACCTGCTATGATGTCATAAAGCAAACAAAATCAAATATTTCACAGTTTCTAGCCAGAAAAAAAAGGTGAAATGTGTAAAAGTGGGTTAAATTTTTATCATTGGATAACTGTCTGTATGAAGCTTTGACAAAATCCATTTTACTATGAATACTACTGTCCTATGTTTATAATAGGGTGTGTTTTAGAACACAATATGGCTCACCTGGTGCTAAAAACTACAAAGTAACCATCAGTAGTGAACGTTTTTTAGGTGAACGTTGTGAAAAGTAAATATGGTGACATCATTATTATGCCACAAATTTCACTAATCTATACTTTCTAGAAATCCAACACAAACAACATCTAACTCAACATCTAAAGCAACTTTTGAACTATATAATGCTTCGCTCTTATCGACTTATCAGTTTGGGCATTATGAGCCCAACTGTAGGAGCAGGTAAGTGCGAAGGACCCGATTTCATGAATTCTGGAAGAACACTGAAAATTACAATTCTCCAGATCATCACTGATTGATTAGACACACTGTTGCAGCAGGCAGTCCATTTAAGGTACCAAATATTATTCATGGCCCAATAAAGAGCTAAAGCCTTTAAGAGCTTTGGTTGTGTTAACTCTTTTAAATTATGTTTACTTTTGTTACACACATATAGAAACTCACACCAACAGACATGTGTTTACATATACTCATCTGGGAATACAGAACACAAAAAATACAACACAAGCTCACACTGAATGTTATAAATATTTGCCACCATTTCACAGACACACAATACCTCTGCTATATCAGAGGAAATCAGAAGTGGAAAAGGGCCTCTATGACTGAACCTAAGTGTTCACGGTTTCTCTTTCAGGCGCGTATTAACTGCTCTGGTTTCCAGTCTGTTATGAATAGTACATCTTTATCTTCTAACTTTGAGCCATTTCTCAAGCAACTATTGTGTTTTTCCTTCTCCTGTTGCTTAAATTGCTCAGTTGATATTTTGCCGGGATAAATGTGCTGCCTTGTTTTCCTGTTTGTCACAGCAGGCAGATAAAGAATTTAACTCATAGAGCGAGTGTAATTGCACAGCTAATCGGGAGCTTGGAAGATTTCTTTCCCTTTCTGTTCTTCATTCTTCTCTTTTTACCTCCTGTTCACTAATTTTCTTGTAAAATTTAACATGTGAAAAATGTACTTGTCCTTCCTTCCTTCACTTTACTTTAATTTCCTCCTTCCTGTACATCTCTTCAAATAAACTTCTCTTCCTTTTTACTATTTCTCTGTTTTTTATCTCTTTCCCTTCCTTTTTACTTTCCATTCCTTCCCACTCCATTCCTTTCTTTTCCTCCTTCCTCCGATCACTATCCTTCCCGTTTCACTATAGTGACAGGAAATCGGAAAAAACTAGGCAGCAAGATGTAAGAAAATGAGATGAGGAGACAGAGAGGAGCCTGACATCGCCTTTTTTTTTGTTTTCACTAAAGGGAACAGAAAGAAGGAAGGAAGAAGGGAAGAGAGAGAAAAAGCAAAGCAAAGATTAATAAAGATCTATTCTTCCCTGCAAATGGCTGCAATCAGAGCAGAGAATGTGACACGAGGGAGACGGAGAGAGTCATTTCAAGAAACGAATGAGAGAGACTGTAAAGTGCAAGAGGGAAGCAGAGAGAGACAGAGCACGACACCCTATTCAGAGAGCATGCTGGAGTCGGGATGCTCTTTAACTCAATAGCAGCATTAATTCTGTAAACTCAATAACACACATGCACACCAATGTAGGCGCACGTGCGCCGCACACACTCATGCACACACACGAGGACATGTGTATTCAGAAGAAGATGCTGCTGACCTCAGGGGGAGCCCCTGCAGCAGTGGAGAGTGAAAATGAAGAAAACAGAAGGGATGGTATGGATTTTGAATGGCAGCAGTTAACCTGACTTGGGTGAAACTTGACATAAAACCGATAGGAGCAGCTTCAGCTTTGTTTTACTGTTTAATGGTGCCTGCAGAAGACCAGCAAAGCCAAAGATCAAAAAGAAGAGAAAGAAGAGAAGCATGATGGATAGACAAACGAAGGAAAGGAGGGGAAAAGGAAAATGACCATCAGAAAAGAGGGTTTTTTTCATAAGCTCCTTGTGTAAATTACATGTGATCTAAAGACTCCAGCAGTCCTTGACAGGGACGGTGTCCTCTGACATCAGCTGCTCTCTCTGCTGTGTGAGCAGGAGGGAAAACCCTGGCTGCTTTCATTCATCTCATTTTTAGTTTTCCCTCTTGATATTGGAAATCTTCACTCTGTGGTGACCCATCCTCTTACCTTTACAGCAGCAATATTTTTTCATCTCATCTCTAGGATTTGTTACTCATTCTATAATCAGCACCACTGACATGCATAATGCTAACAACTTACTTTATGTACCATAAAAATAAAATGTTGCCATGGTAATGATCATGGTAAGAGATATGTCATGATGACCTTTCTAGATGTCTTCTCTAAGTTCCCCTCACTGAGCACACAGGACAAACTTATGTTTAATGTGCTGATGCATCACAGTGATCTGAACTCTGTCACCTTTTGACATTGAGTCTAATAACTGAACTGAATTAGTCATTAATTCAGCTGAAATTTGAGGACTGAATGTCGTACTTGGTTCCTGTAGTGCTAACTACCTGCTATAGCATTAATTGCTAATTGTTTGTTGGCTCTAAGGAAACAGTGGGACAGCTTATGTGGAGGAATAGAGAGTGAAGACACCAGCATGAAGAGAAACATATATGTGTATATATATGCAGGTTTTACACTCATGTTTTCACTAACCACGTGAAAATTAATGTGACATCAGATCATCCTTCCTGTATGCCTTCCTTCATACAGGAAGGAAAGTGCTTGCTCATAGGGGGTCATATGATTGTTGGGTTTTTCTCTGTATCTATGAAGCACCTTGAGGCGACTTTTGTTGTGATTTGGCGCTATATAAATAAAATTGAATTGAATTGAATTGAACTGTAAGCGAAGCGCCAGTTACAGCAGTCATTTCATGCAGCGCTGTAACATCAGCAGGCAGTCGCATCTATCTAAGCCCGCCGTTAAGGCGCAGGAAGCCGCCGCAGCACTCCCCTGAACAATAGGTGTCACCACACAGAAAACACCGTCGTACACTTGTCTCTTCTGTCCAGCTCCAGGGACGTGGCAAGCAACTGCAAGATATCATATTGCAGATCTACATTTGGTCAGTCAGCTTTTTCCATAAAGGCTTGCCATCTGTGGAACACACTTCCAGCCGAAATCAAATTGATTACAGACATCAGATCCTTTACATTAAAGGTTCAAATCTGGTTAAAGGGAAATCCGAGATGTAGTCATTGGATTGATGATGATTTTAATTTTATTTTAATTTATTGTCTATTAATTGTAATTGTATTTATGATGTAATTTGGTTTTATGAAAATGTATGTTTTATTGTAAAATATATCGATTTTGATTGTAAGCCCAACAAGGGACAATTGTTGAAAATTAGCAATAGCTATGAACTTATGTGCGTTACATCAGTTTCGTATTTTTGTACTTGGACTATGTTAAACTGCACTGTCCCTTTTAAATAAATAAATTCAAATTCAAAAACACCATAAGGCTCCAGTAACACAGGCTTAGAGACTGGGAAAAATGTCTATTCCTAAACTGGTTAGTAAGTGATTGCTGGCAGCCGCAAGGTAAAATGGTTTCAGAGGTACGAGGTGCTGCAATGAATAGTAAATGGACTGATTCTTCTACAGCGCTTTTCTACTCTCCCAGACTTCTCAAAGCGCTCTACACAACATGCCACATTCACCCAATCACACCCATTCTTACAAGCACTTTATCTATACTCAGTGCTATCTAAGTACATTCACACTCCGATGGATGCATCGGAGAGCAACTTGGGGTTAGCTCCTCCTGAGCTACAGCCACCCCCAATGAAAACATCCATGCCATTGATTTGATTGCTAGTAGATTGGCTGGAAGATGCCGGCTTGTCTGAAAGCCTCAGCGCTGTGCACTTTTACTCTGAATACAAACATTCTCTATTTCTGGGTTCATCACACTCACTACTAGTTTGTGAGTGGTTGCAGATATGTAACTTCCAGCATGGGGGACAGTATGCACACAGCGTCAGATGAAAGACGTGAACACAAGCAGAAAAGCACTGAATCACAGCTGACCTTGTTCACATACAGCTACCGGTATAAATGATTTTGTTTTGTTTCATTCGTGTTCATGAGTGGACAGATTCCAGCTGAACAGCTAAAACCCTAAAAGGTCATAACATTTTCGTGGTTCTTTACTCCCTTTTTTAACTTTCCTTTAGTTTTTGTGAGACTCTTCCGTATGAGTAAAGCCAGTTAATGGAAACAGTAGGATGGTATCATTAATTATACTAATGGTTATAGCTCGTGTCTAAAATGATTTTTTTAAGTACAACAAATAAATATGAAGAGAAAGCTGCTGGTATTACTAGCAGGGAGCTCAGTTTGGGCTTTTACACACTAGCAGAAACCCTTTGTTACATCCAAATAGCAATAAGCCTGACCCAATTAAACATGTTAACATGTGATTTCTTGAAATTGGTCCTGTAACCGTTTCCAGTAAGGATCAAAACTGTGAAAATATTTCTGGTGGAGAACGCATTAAAGAGTCGAGCACTCTGTGGGTATTAGTCGAAGCAATTAACCTTTCCAGAAAGAAGCTGTTCACTATCACCGCAAAACAGAGCGAAAAAGGGACACCGTGAAACAAGGACAGAAGGAACGAAAAAAGAATCCATGGAGTGAGAGAGCACAAACCGGAGAAACAGTAGGGTTGATTTAATAACAACAAGCAAGCAAGTGACATAACAGCAAATAAGAAAACATTGAAAACAAAGGAGGAGAGAAGGAAACCAAGATGGAGAAAGATAAAGAATCTCAGGAGGCTCACTGGAAAAATGAAATCTGCGGACGGCCATCCTGCTCTAATCAATGATCATTCCACATTAATAAAATTGAGTTTAGAGTTGCATCATGCTGTGCTACAAAGAGTATTTTTTGAGTGGTTGTCAGTTTCCGTCTTTAAAATGAGATGTACTGAACGTGGAACTGTAACCAAAACCTTCATGTTTTCGTCCCTTTTTGCATATTTAAGAGATTTTTTTTCTTCAGGGTGCAGTTATATGCTCCTCACTAGATCACGACTTCAGCATGTACTTTGCAAAGCTCAGCCAAGTCCTAGTGCTAAGGTTGACTCTGCCAAGAAACCTAAAATACTCATGAGTGGTATCGTACCGTTGCGTTGCCCTCCAGCAGTTCATGAGCAGTGATGGGCTTGTCCAGGCTCGGCTTGCCCACGTAGATGTCACCTTCCTGGGGGAAGGCTGACAGCAGCGAGAGGAGAGCTTCTGGGTTGACGTAGTTATCATCGTCCACATGACAAAACCACCTGAGGAGCGATCGGTGAAAGAAAAGGAAAAATATTCAGTTAAAATGTAACCATGGTGCTGGGTTTATAATAATAGTTTTCTCAGCTTCGCTCCGTTTCTCCTGTTAACATTTGCAATCAGGCGGAAAAAAATCTGAAGACTAATTTTCTTCTTTGTTGCTTCCACTCTTGCAACAGAGAAATGAAAAAAGTCTTACCTAAGTAATGCATCGTGCATCTGTACTTGAAATGGCGATACCTTACACTGACTGGAAGAGGAGAAACGGAAGCGGGATGAAATTCCTCAAACCAAGTGTGATCAATGCTGTAACCCCAAGTCATCTAGTTACCCATATGCATATATTTACTTGTGGTTGGATGCCACAGCAAAAATATGAGATTTTCTTTTAAGTTTGATGTTGACGTATATTTTAGGACTCCATGTGAAAAATAGTTGACCTTTGGGCATATAAATATCCTGAAGCCCTTGCAAGCCTATCTTCATTACAGACATTGAAAAGAAAAAGGTTATGTTGGCACATAGTGCCAGATACTTCATCTAAATAGAGAACTGACAGCCACTTAACCACAAGATTTACAACAGAGACCGAAAAGCATTTGTATGTGCTCGTATCCTGCTGTTTGTGTTTATAGACATCACTGATAGGCTTTACCTCGAGTAACCAACAAACACAGACCCAGAGCTTGACTCAGCGTGTAGTCTTTTAACAGTCTCACCAACTTGTAAATGTGACTGTTAAATTCATGAGATCAGGTGAGAGAACAGAGAGAAAAGACACCTGGAGTCACAGCAGTCTGTAAACTATTCATATCACAGTTTACAAGGTACAGCATGTGAAAAAGAGTTTTTATGGGACTCTGTGCTGTGCAATGAGAAACTAAGTAGTAAGTACTTAGGAATTAAAGCAGTAAGCAGCAGTCAGGTGCTGCTGATCAAGTGCACTTGATTAATTGATCCTCAGCGAGTACGAGCACCTCTATAGAAGCAGAAGGTTTGGCAGTTCGCTGGTGTGGAGCAGACAATACAAACAATTTGAAGTCCATCATTTGTGCAGTGAGAAAAATAATTCACAAACAGAAAACATGCAGCACAGCTGCCAGTCTTCCCTGGAGTCAATGTTTCAGTAAATTTATCCCAAGGTCAAAAAATGCAATTCTCAGAAATATAGCAAAAAAAAAAACAAACAAGCACTACAGCTCAGATGCCACAGGCCTCAGGTACCACGTTCAATGTTAAAGATCACGACAGCACAAACAACCAATGGCTTGTTTGGAAGGGTTGCAATCCCTTTCAATCCCTACTTTTAGGCAGAGTCACAAACTTATTTAAGGAATGTTTTTCATCAGATTTACTTGAAATATTTTTGTGTCCCAATTAGTATTAGAATTAAAGTTATGGCTCTATCCCCACTCATTCAGACAGTGTTCTTCATGAGAAGGATGTCATTGTGGCTCAAGAACGCCTGTGAAGCAAGATATCATGTCCCTTTCAGAGGGAACTTAATCTTTTTGTGGAAGAAGAACATGATGAGGTACATCTGTAATAACTTACTTCAACTTCTAGTTAACTTTTTCAGTTAATGGTAGTTGTTAAGGTCACATGATAAGAGATAAGGTTGTTTGTGTAATGATAACTCTTGGTTATCTTGGCAGATCATTCCATGTGATACTGTCACAAGAGCTCTGGAAAAGCTAGCAAAGAAATGTTGAATTTGGGCATTTTTAATGGGAGAAGATTTAAGATCTTCTCCCATTTTGAAGCTTTTTTCATCTACATTTGTTTTTGTCCTCACAGCTTGAATTGCTCTGTGAGTAATCGAGCTGTTTGATTTTTTCTCTGCCATCTTAATGACTGGACATGATGTCAGAGCCTCATTCCAAACCAAACAGGCTTGCACTGCAACATCAGAGTCCAAATTACAAAGCTGCTGGTACCAAACTGAAGTGCTGCCTTGTTTCCTCTGCCATCCTTATTGCTGCCCAACAACAGAAAAGACTTACTTCCAAACCGAACATCCTCACTTCCCTCTTGAGTGGGACTTGAGTGAAACTGGGGAGGTTTGTAAGTGTGCCTTGGAACCAATTTGAAAACATTTTCACTGCCATTCTAATAATGAACGCCCCCCCCCCATTCACTCCCACCCCAAACACAAGCTGTTAAGTTTCATTCATTTTTCCATAGATCAGTATCAACAGATTGTCAATACTTTATATTGTACAGCAGCATCAAGTAGCGTTGTCTCGTGCATATTCAAGTCCCTAATAAACAAACTTTTCAGTTTCTTGGAAATATTTTAATCCTGTTTTTTTCCTGCTTCTTCTTCTTCTTCTTCTGTGATTACATAATGAACAAAGAGCTAATAAATACAACAGTGACACAAGGGTAGCCTGCACTGTGTGCTAATGCAGTGTTCGAGACAACGCATGAAATTGGAAAAGATGCAGACGAGAGTGTAGGGGATCATACATCATCTTCATTCTGGGCCCATTAAGAGCAGATTGCATTATTTTAGTTTTGCCCCAGTTGAAAGGTGTTATGGATAGCTGACAGTGACTGAAAGGTGTGGATCAAATAAGCTCAGTGAACACAGAGGAGGCTCAACGCTGTCAGACTCAAGCCTCAAACTGAAGCAACCAGGGCACGGTTAATTTATCTGAGAAGTGATAGTGGGTGAATAATTCGTTTGGCAGCTATTGACTGCACATCCATCTAATGATGTTAGCTATTACAGAATGCAGTCATACATTTATCTAACTAATTAAGCAATTTCTGTATATCTGTTTGCCGGTTTTCCATCGATCTCAACATCCCCTTCAAACTTGTGCCATGTGTACTGCTAAGGACACTAGTCAGAGAAACGTAGAATCTGACTGGTTGTTCCCCCCTCCTTTGTCCCCCGGTTTCCCCTCCCTCTCCCCTTCAGCAAGGAGTTAAACAGTCTGATGGCGTGTGGGACAAAGGAGTTTTTAAGTCTGTTGGTCCTTGACTTTGGGAGAAGCAACCTGTCACTGAACAGACTCCTCTGGTTGTTTATGGCCGCGTGCAGAGGATGCCCAGCATTGTTCATAATGTCCAACAGTTTCTTTAATGTCCTCTTCTCTGCAACTGTCACCAGATTATTTGCATTTTTCTGGGTAATTTTGAGTATGTCTTACATTAAGAAATGATGGGAATGTTTTCATTTATTTATTTATTTTCTCCCCGTTTTAATCTGTAGTGGTTCAGCCCAGAACCTATTTGGGCTGCGGCTTAACCGATTAACAAATCAGCCAATACCACCATGTTAAATGTTAACTGGTCAGCTTGCATATTTCCTGAAGGTGTGATTGGTCCACTTGGATTTTTTTCTGTTTCCTGTTTTTTATTTAAACGCAAACTGTTTGACATTTTGCAATGACCCTGATGAAGGCTGAAACGCATTGGTCACTTAATAAAGCTGTTTCCTAATACTTTAAGTGTCGCTGGAGTCTTCACATCATCAAGCATCAGCATGCTGTTTGGGCTTCCCACCTACTGCAGTTGCTAGAATACTGCCAAACAACTGTGCGTAAATTGACTGTTACAGTACCCAAGCCAGAGCCTCCAATTATCAAACCACAAGACATAAATTGCTGTATGTCAGGATATGTCAAGACCTACTTAGTCCCAATTACCTAGATGCCATTTGGGCAAACAGGGTGCTAGTTAAAAGTAACTACTTCAAAACTGTGAGAAAATCAATGTGAAATAACACACTACAAGAGTGCACCGGCTGTCCTTTCTCACCAATACGGTGAAGAAGAAAAAAAGTTATTATGTTTGTCTAATCTATGTCACCTGATGTCTTGGTAGAGTATTTAACAGAGGAGATGAAACAACTCCAGGCCTCGAAAGCAGGTATTCTTCAGGTTTTAGATGTGTCCTTGATCCAACACAGCTGATTTATGTGGTTAAATTACCTCCTCAACATGTCTTGAAGCTCTCCAGAGGCCTGGTAACAAACTAATCATTTGATTCAGGTGTGTTGACCCAGGGTGATATCTAAAACCTGCAGGACACTGGCACTCGAGGCCTGGAGTTGCCTACCCCTGGATTAGAGAATATGGCTTGATACCTTCTGTGAGGCAGAAACCCTCTGTGCTCTTAAGATTAGGCTTTAAACTTTCCTTTTTGATAAAGCATATAGTTAGGGTTGGATCAGGTGACCCTGAACCCTCCCTTAGTTATGCTACAATAGGCCTGGGCTGCTGGGGGCTTCTCACTGTGTATTTCTTCTTCACTTAACTCCTTTCACTGTCTATGTGTTTATGTGCCACTCTGCATTTCCAAAGTGTGTCCTTTGTCCTGTCCTCCTCAACTCACGCCCATCCCTGAGCCTGGTCCTGCTGGAGGTTTCTTCTTGTTAAGAGAACCCACGCAAACACGGGGAGAACATGCAAACTCCACACAGAAAGACCCCGGCCTGATGGTGGAATTGAACTCAGGACCTTCTTGCTGTGTGGCAACAGTGCTAACCAACGTGCCACCGTGCTGCCCAACATTCAGCCCCAACGTTGTCTGAATGTTGGGGCTGTATTATTGTAGGGTCTTTAGTTTACAATATAAAGCACCTGGGGTGATTGTTGTGACTTGACACTATGTAAACAAAAATTAACTGAATTGAACTGAATCAGTGACTTATGAAGAATGTGGAACAGGAGCATATAATAATATCAAGGACATAAGAGTATCTGCATAGGGAATGAAATGTCTGCCTTATTTAAGGAGACAGAACTGTTTAAAGAGCTTCTTGCAACACAAAATGATGAGGCAGAACAGGAGACTACTATCGTTTGCACAGAACTCCCACAGATGCAGATTTGTCCCAAATAAATTAAACAACTCAAAGACAATCTTAGTGTTAAAAACACTAAGAGGAGGAAGGCTCAGACAGACTTATCACAGCAGGTGTAGGGCTGTACTGGCCCACATTCACAGAATGCTACAGGACCAAAGATGATATTTGAGAGGAGGACCAGTGCCGTCTCCTGGCTGAGCACAGACAGACCACATCAGTACTTCAGGCACAAAAGGACATGGAAAATGAAAGTAGCCAGGAGCGCAGGAGAAACTTCCAGGCTCCTACAATCAATTAGAACCCTGAAGGAGAATTTTGGTGCAGAGGAAAAAGCCACAGATGAATGGATGGACAGACTCATTCATTTAAAACAGCAGATGGAAGAAGAAATGAAGGAACCAGAAAAAGGCAAAGAAATTCCTCCTCTTTCAAAGAATTCCAAGAATTTCTAAACAAGTCTGCCCTCCGAACCTAATATTAATAATATTTTTAATTATATTCATTTTATTACAAATGCATAAAAAATAAAAACATAAAAGGCTGTTCTTCATACCTTTACAAGTTGGACAGCACTGCACAGAAAAGGTAGTTAAGATGATCGATTAATGCACAGGTTATGCTTAAATAAATTCCTTTAAAAAAAACTCCTCAAAGATTACTGTTGTAATAAGTGTGACTGTAATAATCCTCACCTCTGTTTATGCCTCTATAACCCTGGAACATAATTTACTTCTTTGATTTCTTGCCGCACTAAGTGCTGCTGTAACGGTCTGATTTCCCCACAGTGATCATTAAAGTTTGCAATCTTAATCTGATCTTTAAAGCCGGTGCAGAGAGGGTGTTAGACAGACCGTAATCGGGCTCACCTCTTGTTTGAGGCCATGAAACCGTCGTACTCTGCAGACATCTTGCAGGACAGAGCCTGCTGACTGTGATCAGACTGGCAGTCTGTTACCACCATGTTATAACCTGGTGACAGAGACAGACAGAGAGAGATGAGGAGATAGAGAAGAGATACTACTGGATGCCATCTGTTTCAAAGCAGTTGCACATGGTTGGGTGTATTGATGATTATACCATTCTGCATGGTACATTATTTTACCATCAGCCATGATCAACCCTGTTTGTGATTGACAAGTGATATTAGAAATGGAGAGAAAATATAAAGATAGAGATGTGTGTGATAGAGAGTGAGGAAACAATATAACAGGGGTGAACAGAAGAAGGAAAAAACTAACAAGCTAACAGCATGAGTAGACAGCTCAGCCTCCACTTAACTTATCTATTTAAGACACTCCACGATATTTAGGACCCAGATTGAAAGGATTCCCTTCAATTTACCCACAGGAGCATTTGTAAAAAAACAGTCACTGATGTAGGGTGATGAGGTCTGGCTTGCAGTCTGCCCAGTTGTCATTTTTACTCGGCAAAACAGACTAGAAATGAGAGGCCAGCTGGAAATCGAAGCACTGTTGAAGTCACAACAAGCATTTACAGAGTTGGTTAAGCCAGGGCTGTGGCTATGGTTTGGGAATTTTAGTGTTTGTGACTAAATAATTGATGAAGTTACTGCTGTTGTGCCACATGAGTAAATGCATGCGCCTCTCTCTGTATGGGCATGCTCATATTCATCCTTCCTAATACTCTTAGGGGAAAAAAAGACTTCCAAAAACACAACTTCAGCTCCTGTGAGGTTATGTTGCATTCATTTTTGGTGACTCTCACAACATCTGGGCACATCTGGATTTATTGCTGCTCGATTAATATCAAAATGTCTGATTTTAATGTAAATTTTCGTTGCAGATTGTTGGAGAGTCCTTTAACTGCCTGCCTGCAGTCTCCCCTTTGTGTCACATGTTTATTGCTGCAGTATGAGCAGTGGTGTTGACAGCGGGTGTTAGTGGCAGACTTTAAAGAGCAGCTCAGGAGCAATAACAAAATATTTCAACAGGGGATGCCTAAGGCAGCTGCCTAGTTATCCTGTAGCCTTGGGTAAGAGTTATGGGTCACTTCATCTCATTCCTGTGTGCACGCCAGTATTAGAAGTCTTCCTGATGTCTGTGGTGTTGCATTTGTGCACTGTGGCATTGTCATCTTGAAACAGAGAATGAGCTTACATATTTAAGGTTGTGTGCGCCAGCATTATCTGAGAAACATCCCATATAAGGAATGGAAGACACATTTGCATGCGCCCACATATATAAATATTCTGATTTAAATCTAAATTTTTGTGTGAATGAGATTCAAGATTGCTGCTTACCTTCTGAAGTTAGGTCCACATCCTCTGTGTCTGTGAAAATGAACGTCTATACAAAAGAAAAAAGGAAATATAAAAGAAGATAAGGAATTAAAAACAGGAGCTTCGATTGGTTATCTGTCTTCTTCTCAACATCTGTAACACATCATCCTGAAGTACTCTCATTAGAGAGCAAGAACACAAACACATCATATACTCACAAGGATCAATGGGATCAATGTGATGGAGCAATGCGACGTGACAAAAACAAGGTTCCCTGCTGTGAGCTAAAACAATGAGTCATTGTACACACACATACACACACAGCATCATGATCCAGAGTGGTCAGAGCAGCACGATATGGCTGAGTCAGTTTCTTCTTTGGCAGACCCCCATATCACTAGATAGATAGATAGATAGATAGATAGATAGATAGATAGATAGATAGATAGATAGATAGATAGATAGATAGATAGATAGATAGATAGATAGATAGAAGAGCAATACTGACATCTAGTGGTGTGAAAATGTCAGCTCTATTGTCACAGCTCGGCTGTCTCAGGGCTGTCACGTAGAGATTGACCAGTTACACTAACAGTCAATGTAAAATCAGCTATTAGCCTAGCATGCATGTCTTTGGACTGTGAGAGGAAGCTGGAGTACTTACAGAGAACCCACACAGGCACGGGGAGAACATGCAAAACTCCACCCAGAAAGGCCCCAGCTGGAAAGGGCCTGACATTCTCATTGTAAGTGATGGTGCCACCCACTGCACCAATATGCAACCTGTTTTTTCTTTCCTTCTTTTCCTCATTATTTACAATTTTACAAAACACCACAATGCAGAAATGCTCAGATATAAGCAAAGTTGCAACTTTTCTTTTGCTCTGCTTTTGGTTGAGCCACAGTGAGTGTCTCTGGGGAAACTATATTCAGCACCTCCGTTATTTCACCAGGAGCCTCATTTGCCTTTTTGTTTCCTTTTTGTCTTTTAACTGTTGTCACTCCTACAGAAAGACGTCAGACACTGAAAACACTGCACTCTTCAGTATTTATTCTTTTGCTTAGGGTGTGCAGGCTTCTCTTGTTCAACACTGTTACTGCTTCCATCATTCCTCTACCACGCTCTCTCGTGGAGGTGCAGCACTATGTAGATTGCAGTTGCACTAATACATGTACACACAGTATGAAGCAGTTAATATGAACATACACCATTGTAATAATAATAATTGCTTGTTATAATGTAATTAATTAGCAAAAATGTTACAAAATCGGAATAATATTGTATTATGATCATATCGGATGATGTCTGGTAAGTCCCACTTCTAGTTAGTGAAGGCAGGGAGTTGTGAAGGAAGTGTAAAATGTGAACGAGAGCTCCAAAATTAATCCAGTAAGTTAACTTTCAGTCTATAAAATTGTGTAAGCTTCCAGGGAAATGCCATACTAGTGTTAATTTGAGGTAACTGTGCAAATTCATGTGTTTAAAAATGGCAGGCTCACTGTCTGACCGTTTTACTAGCTGTGATTATGTGTATTTTTCTCTGTATTTACATTAAAGTGAGTTTCCATAATATCCTCTCTGCTGCATTCAAAGAGAAAGGCTTCATCTATTCTTAAGTACACTGTTTTATTATAGCATCCCAGTCCATCAATCAAATTATAATATTCTCTATTCCTCTCGCTCTCCCGTTCTCCCTTGAAGTGACATCAAACAGCCTCTAAATCATTACTTTGGTCATTTTAATACAGCTGGAGTTCTATCGCCCCCTCACTAGTTCTCCCAAAGGCCTTTTTTAACCTTTTTTCATCCCTTCCTGTCATCTCTCCATCACTGAAGCAGGAGAAGGAGGAGTAATGAGATACCAGGATCAATCCTCCCCCCCGCTATCATCACGACAACCACCACCACCTACGCCACTAAATCCTCCAGAGAAAATTTTGCCATTACAATTAGTTTCCCCACCTCTGGCCATAACTCAAACTAAAGCACCTGCACTGAAATCAGTCAGCCTGGGACGAGGAACGAAAACGACATAGCGTGCAGTTGGAGCGGCTCGTAAACAGAGTTTGCAGGGACGTTTCACTGAGGTCAGGTGGGAATGCATAAATCTGAACTTGTTTTTCACACTCTTAAAGGGCTATTAAGTAAGATTTGTACCACCCCATAACACAAAATGACTGCAATATATCTTAATAAGGGCTCTGATCAATATTTCAGTGATTCCTTTGTAGTATGATGATGATAATCTGGCTTCTGAATCGGACATTTGGATGCTCAGTCTGTTTAACTGTGGCACTCTGAGAAGCTTGAATGGGAAATTTGTTGAGAGTAGAAGGGGGCAAAATCATTCTATAATTGTTATGGCCAAACTGACGCTGATACCAATGGCAGTTTTTGGGGATTAAGAAAAAATCTGAAATTATGAAACCAGGCACAGGGTCACACAGCTAGCCTTCAAAATCTAAATGAAATTGTTAAATTAAATTAAGATTTATGCCACATGCAATAACTATTTATTAACAATGGTGAATGGGTGAATGAGACGAGTTGTGTAAAGCGTTTTGAGTGCTCTGGTACAGTAAAAAAGCACAAAATAAGAACCAATCCATTTACTATTTAACATAGCAGAAACACAACCAGGAGACATAACGTGGACACAAACCACTTTAGCCACAAGTGGATGGATATGTTGTTATTCAACAAGTAACAACAATGTAAATGCCTCTGAATCCAGTAATAACATATGAGATACAGTATGTCGAGGTGCTGTTATTAGCAGTGTACTGATTCTAGTAATTATGCTATGCAAGGCTACTAGCTTAATTCTTCAATCCTTTTGCCCCATCCACACTTTGAAGTTGACAGTTGGACACCAGTGGACGTTACTACAAAAATGACTACACTACTACAAAGTTTAACACCTTTCTTTGGTTGTAACATTGTTGCTACTCACTTCCTGTGTGGATGCAGCCTTACACTTGACATGAGACTGGTAACATTCTCGCATGCTGACTAACCGAAATAACAAAACCAAGAATAAATTGCAGTTAAAACGTGCACAATATATAACCTGAACCACAGATCTGATAGCTTTATCAGTGAACTTAGTTTCAGGTATAAAACACTGAATCTCCATTAACAATTTAGAGTTGTAAGGTGAAATACCAATGATTTACTAAAACTAGTCTATAAGATGGCAACTGTCAAGGAACAACACACAGTGTAGCACTTTGTATCTATTACAGCATAGTTAATTATTTTTTATGACCGTGTGTCTGAATAATGCGCTACAAAAAAGGCACTCAATGTTTAATAGAAATAACAGAAGTCAAACATATCAAATGTTAAAAATCCTCATTTCTGTTGGATTAAAATGGTTTAAAATGTGATTTAAACATTTATAAAATAAAGAGACAGGGGCATGTTTACCACTGTGTTGCATCACTTCTTCTTTTGACAATCTGCAAGTTTGGGACCTGAGATGATGATTTGTTGTAGCTTTTAAAATGAGATGCTCTCCTGTTTTTGGTTTATACTACAATGCATGCTGCTCAGTAGTTAGGGGCATTCTTGTTTCATAATCCTTCATATACTGAGATATATCTTAAAAGCAGGAAATTTAGTACCATAACACTTGTGCTTTGATGATATATTTTCTTCAACATTTATACTCCTGAAAAACTCCACCTTTCTACATTGCTCATTTTACAGTGTAACAACTATTCGAAAACTTTTTTGACGGTTTGCTTTAAATTTTTAATGAGATAATTCTTCTCTGTGCATCACTCCAGATCAAACTTTCCACTCTGAATGTGAAATATCTCAGCTTCTACTGGATACATAGCCATAGAGTACACAGGAACAAAACATTTTACAGTTTTTTACAGACGCTAGGACACATTTCTCAATACTTAGGTCACTTTTGCAAAACTCCTCACACAGTGAGCACAACAGAAGTCTATGTGGGCTAAACTGAGGATCAGTTATCATTGTTTTGGCACAAAATGCATTCAATGACTACATCTCTCAAATTTCATGAATTATTTTCTCACTCAGACACAACAACTGCCAAAAATCTTTGTACGTACAGGACATTTTGCATGTGCTTACATACTGTTTTCAAAACTGTTAAACTTATGGCCAAAACAATAACACAATGCAAAACTTGAAAAGACAGCAAAATCCAACAGCAATATTTTATTGAAACATATTTTAAATCTAAAAATGCAGTTTAACCAGCCACAGCTGATTCTCATTGTAGATGAACATCTACACAGGTGTTACTCCTTCAATTTTTCAACTCCTTCAATTCTGGCATGCCAGAAGATTCTTTCCTAGGTGTATTGCCCTAGATGACATAAGATGTGATGTGGATGAGAACCTGTGGCCAAATGGAGAAGACCGAGTAGATTAGCATTACTATTGTATGTGTATCAGTGGATGGTGTGTATACAAATTCTTGTATTTTGGGATTACTTAGTGCAAAAAAATAAAAATACATAAACAAATATTAACGAATTCTGCATGATGTCTGATTCATTCCAGTAACATATATTGAAATTATAAACAGAGATGTGTCCTTGTTTTACACAAGAAAACACTGTGTAATGCTACATGTTGTTAGTGTTTTTTAGGTCATTGTTTTGTGGGTGACAAAGTGTGTTTGTCGGCTGTCAACCTTTGCTAGTGTTCTGGAAGAATGAGTTTATTTGAGACCTGAATGAAGTGTTTTGGTAGTTGTAGTGCATTTTGAATGTGAAATGAACTGCTTTGCCAAGCTGACGGTCAGTTAGGAGGATTGTGTGAAGTGTTTTGCAAAAGTGACCTAAGTATTGGGAAATGTGTCCTAGCGTCTGTAAAAAACTGTAATATTAGCCATTTCTCCATCCACTTATATCTGTTTCCACCTCTGAGATCATTTCTGTTGTTGGTGCTGAAAGATGTGATAGAATTTTTTGAAGATCCGAAGCTAGACTGAGGCCAAGATCATATTAGGGATTATCACAATGTATTTACTGTTTTAGGGCTTCCAACAAGCTGTTGCCAGCTGCTGTCACGGAGACAGTTTCTGTCTGCTTCCAGGTCTAAGCAGATTAGCTTCAATATTTTGTGGAAGCTGCTGCCAAGCTGGTTGACTTTTCACCCCAGGTGTGTGTGTGTGTGTGTGTGTGTGTGTGTGTGTGTGTGTGTGTGTGTGTGTGTGCATGTGTGTGTGTGTGTGTGTGTGTTGAGTGTATGGGGTTCATTCTGTTCTGCAATCAGCCCTACACTTCCTTTTCTATGACCAGCTTCCGTTTTAGTATTGTTAACAGAGTCACTACACGGCGGCTGCTTCCCCTCGGCTGAGACAGCCTGCCTGCGCAGCTTCCTGTGTATGCGTCTGTATGTTTTCATCTACCACTGGGTGTGTAGTTGCATTTTTGTGCCATTGGTAGCTATAGATATACATATATATAGAGATGAAGATAAAATAAACTATAGGGCCTGTGTGTGTTGTGTGTGTGTGTGTGTGTGCTGTGTGTGTGTGTGTGTGTGTGTGTGTGTGTGTGTGTGTGTGTGTGTGTGTGTGTGTGTGACTGTGTGCAGGCACTACCATCGACAAACGCTAAAGCAACATTTTGTTTTGTGTTTGCAAAGAGAAAGAGGAAGAGTATAAACCAAGGCGTCTTTAAAAATGTCTTTCAGCACTCCGAGATGTGAAAAGAAAAGAAGCTAACAGAAATGTGCTTCCTCAGCTCTTTCATCTGGTGTCAAAAAGGAAATGAACTCTGTATGTACACTCTGTACACTGTATGTGTGTATTTAAATAGAAGAATCCTGGAATTTTAAATAGTGAAACTGCTCACTGACTTGCATATTTGACAGCACTGACACACAAACAGGCACAGTGGTCAATGAAAACCTCTAAGCCGATACAAGCGACTCAGAGTAACTTGGGTTGTTTCCAGAACCTAAAGGAAGTCTGATTTTAAAGGTCAGGTTAAGACAACTCAAACATCTTTAGGCTGATGGCACTGAAGTATAAGATAGATATGTTCCTGAAAAAATAAATATATTGTATTGTATACATGCCAGTAACTAGTTTTCTAAGTATAGTAACAGAAATTACCCAGATGAAGGAAAAGGGTGAAAAAAAATATCCCAAACCCCTTTGAAATTCTGCACCACAAGTACCACCACTGTTGTATGTTCAAAATGTTGGATGAGCTGTAGCAAAAGACTTTTAAGCTGAATACCCAATACCTCACAGATCAGGCTTTCTAACAGGTTTGACACTCTATGCCAATATTTAAAAATAGACCCTTACATAGTCGTGAAGTGAGACGTGCAGACTGTAAAACCAAAACAGAACTGATTTCTTTATGTTACTCTCTGTTTGTTTGGGGTGTTTTTCTTCATGCTAGTGGGACAAGACTAGCATGAAGTGATAAACAAAAGAAACTAAATTTAACTTTAATGAGCCATCAGACCTGCAGCACCAGAGCAGAAAGGAAGTGAGTGTTTTCACTTCATCTTTAGAGTCATGGCACATGGTTTGACAGATCACATGTTTACTTTTTTCTTCTTTGTTTTGCCTGAAATATTTCTAAGAAATTAAACTCTTGAGCTTTACGTGTTATATCAGTTTCATTCTGTCATACCATTATAGGATTAATAAATGCATTGGAGTTCCTCTTTTATCTGTTTTGTTCACGGGTTCGGTTAAATCAACAGCTTCCTGTGATTGCGTAAATATTTTTAAACGAATGTTCTACTAAATATAGGAGAGAGTTTAAATCTTTTTTAAAAATCTGGTGGTTTGCTTGAATCAGGAGCTGCTGTGTGATGAGAAGAGTAAGATGTTTCAGGAAACAGACATCACACTCACGTGCGCTTTGGTTCTGGAGATCCAGGTCTCCAAAAGAAGCGCGAGGCGCGTCTTGTGGAACCTCCCGGTGGTTTTCACAGCTATGTAGACGTCCTCCACCTTCAGTTCGGGCTGGCTGACATGTGCGTCCTCGGGCACCGAGCGACCTCCATCGGCCAATGCTGTTTCGCCGCTGCTTCTGGTACTTTTCGCCGGGTTCTGCGCGTCCCTGACCAGGAAGGTAGCCTGCTGGATGGTCCGGTGGTGGATCGCACCGGGTGATGGATGGTGAACCACTATAACTTTGGGAAGGCTGCTGGTTCGAAGCTGAAAATCCACGTAGAGAATGATGAAGAAGGTGAAAATTAAGACAAGCAACCTCCGGCGTATCCATCTGTTACGCATGGTAAAGCAAAATAAATTTTAAAAAAGAATCTCAGTTAAATGTTGTAGGTCATTTAAAACGTGCTCTTAGGCGCCTTATTTAAAATCAACGTCATTTTTTTTAAGTTCTGGGTTAATTTCGTAACGGGTCCTCCATCACTTCTTCGTCTTCCTCCTTTTTTACAGTTCCTGAATGGCCCAATTAACTGATAATTCTCACAAGTGCAGCTTCAGTTTCAGAGTCGTGTCAGTCACACACACGATCAGGGTCTAAACTCGTGTCTGCTGTGATCACATAGGCAAAAACTCGCATTTCCTCTCATTTTGTGCAAAAAGCCAGAAGCGCAAAGATGTATTTGACTTTCCACTTGCAGCTCTGCGCTGTCGCCACTGTCAAGCTACAAGGAACCAGGTAATAATATTTCCACCCGCCGCTGTCAAAATAAAGCACATCCGGTGAGGATCTGCATAGCAGCTTAAACATGCCTCATATCAGGGGTACAAGACACAGCAGGATATCACGACATATATACTTGACATTTACTTTGCTTTTTGAACCCCTGTTTCTCTTGTAGGTGTACTTCAAAATGCAAAAAAAAAGTTTATATTTTGAGGCAACGCAAATAACAGCAAAGTGGAAAAGAAAGTTTAAAGATTTTTTTTAAATTCCTTAAAATGACAACATAGCTTTTTGTCATTTACAAACATTCAGACTCTTCAGAAAGTCTCTATATGTGTATGAAAATGAGCTTCCTGTCAGCAAACAGTAGGCAAGACTGTCAGGACTGACATTCACAAAAGAACAATGATCTGCATCTATTATAGAACACAGCAGGAAGCTGTGCTTCAAGAACAGGGGTTCTTGAAGCTCAGGGCTTGACAAGCAGCAACCAGGAGTGAGCCGGTGCATACCTGGATGCCCATTCCCGGACACAAAGAACCACCCATGTCTGAGGGTGTCTGCCACTGACAGGGGGAGTGGTGGGGGGAGATAGGCCTCCATACCATGGAGGGCCTGAAAGGTGGCATCTGATACCCGACCTGACATATAGACACAGACAAACAGGCACACACAGATACAAACATCCATTCCCACCCTCATTCACTCATATGCAATTATTCAGCTGTCACCCAACGTGGAGACAGACATAAAGAGACACTGTACACACAATCACCCAAGCGTACTCTAAGCCCCAGGTGTAGGTACCCTTGCTCCTGGAGGGGGAAACTGCACCCAGACCCAGGTAGTGTTACCCTTTTCCCTGGGGTGGAGAGAAGCTGTGCCAGCTCCTGCGCTGACCCAAGTAGACACCTCCATACTCTGCAACCCACCAGGGAAAGGGGGCCCATGCCCATCCGGGGCCCAGTTCAGCAGCGCCGCCCGGCCCCACAGAGCCCGGGACAGCCCACCCGACCCCACCACAGAGAAAACTGCACCCACCCCATCATCCACTCGTCCTTCAGACTACGCAAAACAATAAACACCCAGGCTGAGTTCTTCCTCCACCTCTCCTATATCTCCCCCATCTCCACCACAAAATGCTTTTGTTTTTTACGATTGGTCCATGGTAAAACAAAATTTTTATTTTATTTTTTAAAAAAGGACATTTTCTGTGAATTAACTCAAACTTTCTGCTTTAAGCACACTATGACCATGAGCTACAGAGCTATGTTTTCTGTAATTTTCCACATTTATATTTTACAGTTTACACCCAAAGATTTATGTTGACACATTTCTTTCGATTACTACATCACTACATTTATTTAGTGTGTGAAAAAACAAAATACTGTTATACCATCACATCTTTTTCTCATATTAAAGCATCTCAACTAAATGTGTAGTTGAAGTCCCTTTCACACTAGAGCAGTTTCACTACTCCAGCACACTAAACAGGCTGTATGTGGCCCCACGATGTAAAATGAATTTAAGTTACCTGGTTTAAGAATTAACCCAGCTGATCCTGAGCGTGTTATGGACTTCTGAAGCAGTTTTTATTGCAATCCAAACTGTGAAGACAGTTCACTGCTGACAATAAATGTTTACTTGTCATATCACTCTGTATACAGCTGACGCATGATGTAATCAGTTTTCCTCACCGGTTGTAGAGTTAACTGTGTCGTAGATTTCCTTTTAAAGGGATGAAGATGCCATTTTTGACCATTTTGTTTGCCTTATATCAAACAAAATGGTATAAGGCTCTGATAAGCTGATATACACTCTGATAAGGCCATATCAGAGTGTATATTAATGTAACTGTGTAATTCAAAAGGCAGGAATAGTATCACACCAAAAAAAGCTCTTAGCATTCCTCATTTCCAACTATTATTTAGGGTTAGGGCTTGGTTGTGTTTTAGCTGCATGAAAAACGAACACATTTTCAGAAACTAGAAGCAGATTTGCAAAGAATCTAATTTACTGTCCATGTATCTCTAAGCTTTTGCTGCAACTAATCTAATCTAATTCAAACATTTGATACATTTGAAGGATAAAGCTTTATTTGAAATAATTTTTTATCTGTTGTGAATCTTCTTCACCTGATCTTTTTTGGGCCATGTCCTATATTTTTCTGAAGCAGAATCGAAACAAAACAAAACAAGATGTTCACTTTTGTTTTTGGAGAGGAACCATCAATCTCTGGGTCTAAGCTGATAGTGTGCTGTTTCCTGGGCTGCTCTCTCTGGAGACTGTCGCCAAAGAGGGAAAGGTTGATACAATTAATTCACCTCAGACCCTCATCGCCACCTTTGTTTATTTGTCCTTTCTCAGCGTTCTCACCTTACATCCATCCCTCCAACCCCCCTCCCTTCTCTCAGTCTCTCTCTCTCTCTCTCTCGCTCCCCTCTTCTACTGACCACCTGTTTTCCTTTTCCCCACTGCTACCCGACGCAGAGAGGACCAGCCCACCCCCCCAACCCACTCCTCCTGGTCCCGCAGGTAAACCAGAGACGCCCAAGGCACACCCTGGCCAGGAAAGACCCAGGATCGCCTTACGGCCTAGCTGAAAAGTGCTCTTTCTAAGTAAGTACATCGCGGCCCCACTTTGAACAAAGAGCCAGGGGAGTCAAGGGACCAGACCCTCTTTCAGGGCTTTGTCTCTCTGCCTGCTCTGAGCTCAGAGTCAGACACTGACTTGGACTGAACTCAAGAATTCAGATTGGAGAAAAAAAATCACAAACATGCAGGCAAGAAAGTTTAAAGAACTAAGAAAGAGTCTTTAGAGGCCAGGCATTAATTTTACATTTTAATTAATCTGGACATCAGATTCGAAATTCAGGTTTCTAAATACGAAGATTTTAATGGTTGTTTAACAGCTACTGAAACAAATGAAGGATAAATAAAAATTGGAAAATGACAGCACATCACTGAAGAGGAAGCTTTACTAAGGCAGCTATTTCTGTCCTAATGTGGATAGCCAGAAGTTCCCCACATATCAGTGCTTTTAACTAGCTTACAGAGCTAATCTAAGGTCCCACTAACAAACAAAACCCTGCAAAGGGAACCACTTAACACTAGAGGCAGGTAAAATGACCTGACATGTGTGTGTGTG